GGAACTTCGGAGACAGGCTAGTTTAATTTCCATAGTTTATAGATAAGGAAACTGAACTCAATCCAGGGAAGTTAAGTGCCTTGTCTAGGCAGTAGGAGCAGAACCAGTTTCAGAGTCCTGGTTCTGTGATGTCTGGTGTTCTTTCTAACTCACCTGTAAGTCTCACTTTTGGCTTGGAAAATATTCTGGGGCTACAACAGCTTTCTCTCCTCACCAACATCCATTATTATGGGAAAAGGAAGCAGAAATGTCTATGAAAGGAATACTTGAGAAGAGACAGCCCCTAGATAGTAGCACTATTTCTCCAAACTTCAGAAGAACCCCAGAGTGTGTCTACCACATAAGCATTTCCTTCACTCTCTGGGCCAGTTTGTGCCACAGAGGGTGTAACCTTCTGCACTTGTGGTGTCCTTAGAGAAACATCCCATAAAAGAAGGAAGGATGCTTCTTGGGTCCCTTGCCCTTAGCAGGGTTTCCAGCTGTGTTGCCTTTACTGGAGCAATGATTGGTGTCAGGGCCTTTGCCTTGAGCTTGTATCAGTCTCTGGGTGGGAGGGAGAGGTGGAAAGGCTTCTGCTTTGGTTCCTGTCCTCTAGATGTCTGGGGTCAATGGGCAGAGGCCAGGAACTCTTCCCCTCCTGTTATCTCTCAAGGGCTTTTTCCCTTTACATCGACCTCAGCATCTGCTGTGGAGGGAGTGGATTTAAGCCAGGCCAGCTGCTCTGGAGTGTTACTTTGTGAAAGAAGGGAATCCCTTTCTCCCTCCCCCAACTATCACCTCCACTGCCACTACCACCATCTCCCTTTAGAGATTAATTCCCAGAGAAAGGAAGTGTTCTCTAAATCCAGGGACTGATTCTTCATCTATTTCTGAAGTGCAAAACAATTTTTCCCTAGATGGAAATACTACCCTTGTCTGTCCTCTCTTCCTGGGTTTCTGTAAATTAGCAGACACTTGCATCCTACTGTTTGTAAGACGGTTATTTTTTTTTCTTTGTAAGAGGTAGTAATCTTAGAACTGATGGCACTCAGCAACTTTCCACTCTCCTGAGACGAGAAGTAATAATAGGATCACAGAATTAAAGCTGGAAGAAAACATTGTGATCTGAAGTCCATTTTACCAGTGAGGAAACTGAGGCCCAGAAAGCTTTAAGTGATTTGCCCAGGGTCACATAGTGTCTGAGGAAGAATTTGCACTTAAATTTTGCAGTCTCCAGGTCCAGTTCTGTACCACAATGACTCTTTGTGAATTAATAACTTCATTCTGATTCTTTCTATTGGGACTCCAATTGGGGTGACTGTTCCCAAGAGAAACACAGTAATAGTTTGAATTATCTTCTGCCCATTACAAAATTATTAAGTGGCATTGGGTGGGAGCTGCAGAAGACCTTGACCTGAATGCAATTCTAATTTCCTTTCCTTGTTTAGCAGAACAAAGAGAGAGAATATTTTCAGCTTATATTCAAACTGACAGATGAACCCCAATAGAGAATCCATTGCACAGTTGCCTAACAGCCCAACTTTCTGTCTGATTTATGACTTCCAAAGGCCCCCAAATAGTTCACAATTCTTTCTTTTTTTATTTTATTTTCCTTTCCTTCCTTCCTTTATTTATTTTTTTTAGTGGGAGGAAGACAGAATAGTCTGGGGGAGGGTGATATGAATGTCAGTAACCTCCTTTAGCATAAGAGAACTGCTCCAATTCTTCAGTGACTCTGTGTGTGTGTGTGTGTGTGCTGCCAGGGTAGAAAAGCCCTAGAAGAAGGTTCTATATCTCCTGTGAAGACTTCTCTAATCACCCCAGTTACTCCCACCCCCACCCCTATTGCCTTGTACTTATTTTTTTTTATGTTTGGTATATAGTTATACATGTAGACATATAGGAGAGGCAGTGTAGTACAATGAAAGCATGTTGGACCTCATTTTGCTATTTTCAACCTGTATGACATTGGAAAATCACTCAATATCTCTGGGCGTTAGTTTCCTCACCTGTAAAATGAGAAGGTTGAATTAAATCACCTCTGAGATTCCTTTCAGCTTTATGTTGCTATGATAATTCTTCTCTATCTGCCCCGCCACCTCACCCCCAGAATGAGAGCTCTCTGAGGGCAGGAGAGGTTTGCTTTTTGCTTCTGTATCCCTTGGAAAGCTGCCTGGTGCTTATTATATGCTTGTTAGATGTTGAATAAACTAAAGTGGTTAGAGGAAGCCTCTTGGAGGAGACTTTCTTCCTTCACGAAGCCTCCAGGAAAACAATTGCCTCCCGCTTTAGATATTCTGGTCTGTTTTTTGTTTTTTGTTTTTTTGCTTCCAGACAGGTCACCCATTCCTGGAGCTTGGTATTTTCTGGGAAATTCTCCTTAAATACTCTGTCTCCTCCCCACCCCCAGCCTCCATACAGGTGGGAAAAGAAGGTCTCTGAAGTTTGGGGTTGGAAAACAGAAAAGTTGCTCCTGGACTTTCATTTGAAGCAACAAGGCAGTTTCCCTGTTGCAGAGCCTGGAGCTGGCACCTTTGGAACTCTAGCACCTCCCTTGTGGCAGCTGCTAGTTAGTTCTCCAGCCGAGACTCCACCTGGACACAGCCAGCAACATGGCTTTTGGGGGATTGCTTCTGGGAGAAGCAAAGAGCATTTCTGGAGATTTCCTTAAATGTGAATATGGGTCCTGTCATATTCCAGTCCCCTCTACTCAGCAACTTTCTTGCTTCTTCATCTGTTCTTGGACACCAGGAGGTTGGTTGATTTTTACTTAATCAGAAATGATGTTTTGTGAAGTCAGAGAATTGGCCTCAATTTCTGGGCACTGAAGACTGGCAAGAGGTGGGAGGAGAGATAGCATGGGGTGGTGGTGGGACAAAAATATGAGGTGGATTTCAAAGGTATTTGTGGGGGGTAGAGAGAATACTGAGGATATTTATCCTGCTGGATTATTGCTCCAGGAGTCTCCAGCTAATATTCTTCTCAATTTCATCCAGGAGCAAGACTGACTCTGGCTAGACACACAAAAATTGAGCAGAACCGATCTCATTCTCTATAAAACTCTAGGCAACTGTTCTACTTTTATTCTGACCGTGTTCTTCATATTTAGAATTTTAAAAGTTTCAGCAATTCTAGAAGATTGTCCTTTCCTTTCTATCAACCAATTTACACTCCATAAGTGTGCAAATGGAATATCAGGTCAGCAGCTAATCAATTTATTCCCATCACTTCAATCTCTGACTTCTCTACCCAAATCCAGTTTCTTGACCTCTATGGCAGAGCCTCAGAAAGTTCCTACTCAGCTACTCAGCACTTTCCATTCTGACAGTTCTTTTTCTTCCAGGCTGCTGAGTCTGACTTGTCTGCTGCTAGAAAATGTGAAGGGGTAAGAAGAGAAAATAGCCTAATCTCTCCCGTTGATGGACAAGCTTAACTTTGGTCAAGTGGAATCGCTAATAATGGGAGACTAAGAAAGGCCTTCATTATAAGAGAAATCAGAACTTAAGGACTCTCTGTGTGAGTTTAAAAGAAAGATCTCTCCAATGAATCCCCCTGGGTGACATCTTAATATTAAAAAAAAGTATCCAGCCACAGGCAGGGATACAGTTCGCTGTACTTAAGGCAAGGAAAATAGTCTCTCCTATTTCCTGAATCTCTTAGGTCTGAGTGCCCATGGAGTCCAGATTTTAAAGGGTGAGACCATCCATAAGCCCTTTTCTATTGCACCCTACCTGGAGGCAGGCTGGGGGAGCTAAAGAAAGAGAAAAAATAGGTTCATTTTAAAGGGGAAAGGGAGTCTAAGTGATTAACTCTATGAGGTCAGGGACCATGTCTTATTTAAACTTCATACTTCATTGGAAGAGTTCTTCATACAATTAGTGCTTAATAAAAATATGTGTGCAGTTAAGTCATTGGACTCTGCCCTCATTTTGATTCTTTAGTGTCCAATATCAAGGGCTGCAGGCCAATTTCCCAGTTTTATGGAGCACTGGAAGTCTTAGAAAAATGTATTATCATTGAGAGGTGGTTTTTTTTTTTAAGGAGTAAGGAGTGGGGTTTACAAACTATTCGATGGGTTGCTGCTTTCTTCTGTGAGAACATTTTTTACATATTCGGATTAAAGGAAATTTTGATTCTAAGGAAGGAAGAGAAGCAGAGAAAGCAGAAAAGAGGGGGTAAATTTAGCAGCCGGGGCACTTCACTGCTCTAAGCTGAAGAAAACCAAAAGCTTTAGGGGGATTAGTTGTAAAAGACATTCTCAGTATGTTAATTGTGAGGAAGTTAGATTTGAGATGAGGGAGGTCGAGGGATAAGGCTGCCACCCATAATCATTCTCCATCACTGAATAATGACTGAAGGTGTTTCCGTGGTTAGTTTCATCACTCTGCGGCACATTAAAAACCTAAAGCATCAAAACCCCTCCAACTGTGAGACCCATAATGCCGGGTCTGGGTTTACCTCCGCCCCCCTTCTCAAAGGCTGAGTTCAGAAGCTGTTTCTATCTGCATCAGTTTCGGAATTGTGATTCAGACACAATTGGGGGGGGGAATGGGAGTGGAGAGAGGGAGAGAGAACACTCCAAACAATTAAAAGGCTTTATTACCTCCTTTATTTAAATAAATATAAATATAAATTTATATAAAACTATTCACATACAAAGGGATTCTCAATGACTGGATTTGTCACTCTTTACAGACAATTTTCAGAAAGCAGAACTACAAGGTATAATTTTCTAAGTTAATTCCAACTTCAAAACTTCCTGTAAAAAAAACCACAGTAAAATAAACAAAAAAAGGGGTTCAGCCATAAAACATGTTGGAAAGCAGGAGGGTAAATGATATATGTTTTTGGAAAACTCCAACACAGTGTTAAGAAAAAAAAGACATCCTACAACACCTGCCTTTTTGTGTTAAACAAGATTTTTAGTTGACTTCTAAATCAGTTACACTTCTTTTTAAAAATCTATGCCTGCGAATTGAGCACGAATCAAACAGATAAAAACTGAAATGAGCTAAGCCTGGTGCAGAGAGAGGACGTGAGGAGTTGGCCAGTGTGCTCCTCTTGGCGTGATTGCAGCAGCAGTAGCAGGTGCAGAACCCTGGAGAAGACTTTTCTCTGCCTGAGTTCACCGTTTTTCGCTGGCCTCTGTAAAGTTGTTTCTGATTCCTTTGGGCCTGCCAGTTATGCTCCCCGGAGGTCTCATGGAGGAAGTGAGCCGAGGGATTGGGGAAGGAGAGGACCGAGAGACCTTTGGAGCTTGTCCCTGTGAGGAAGGGGAGCTCATAATGGGGAGATCTCCTTGTCTTCGTTGGCAGAGGAAGGGGATAAGGACTCTTCGTCCTCAGAGCGCGGGTAGTGAACTTGGTTAGTGACGCACTTGCAGCCCCCGTGACTGTTCCTCTGCGAACCTTTGCCTTCTTTCTTGTGTTTCACTCGACGGTTCTGGAACCAGATTTTCACCTGCTTCTCCGAGAGATTGAGGTACGTGGCAATCTCGATTCTCCGGAGTCGAGAAAGATACATGTTTGAGGAGAATTCCCTCTCCAACTCCAGGAGCTGGGTGCTGGTGAAAGCTGTCCTCATCCTCTTGCCGTTTTGAATTTGACTAGTATCAGAGCCACCTGTGTGAGAAAGAAGACAAATCCGTAAGAAGCATAGGTAAGCAACTGACAACAATATCCCCAAGACACTCACACAGACATAGACATAGTCGTACAACCCTCCCCCACGCACAGACTGGAAGAAAAAAGTCATGGTCCTCTGACCGTGTCAACCTCTACCCTCTCAGAGGCTGACTGACGATTCAACACGAGTCACATTCTCCCTTGGATTTAATACATTTTAAAAACTGGAATTGCACACGCCTCTGAGGGTTAGTAGTCTGAGGTATTCAAGAGCCTCCTGCTGCCTCATCGAAAGTCCCACAGGAAAAAAAAATTGTCTTCCTTATGCCACAGGCACCCCAGCAGTTCAATCAAAACTGATGCCATCCACAACCATGAATACGGACAGACGCACGCACACTCACTGGTACACAAATGCATACATCTCATTACAATTCTTACTTCATCTAGGACCGATCAATACTGCCTTCTCCCTTTTGGGGCTGCACCTTAGCACTCTGACCCACAGTTTTTCCCTCCCCGAGTACTGAGTAACCAGGTAAGCTAAGCTATTCCAGATGTGTAGGCTTGTATGTGTGTGCGTGGGGGGGGGTGCCACGAGATTGAAAAAAAAAAAAGACTGGTCCAGCAGCATCCTGCCTGCTGTCTCTGATTTTGTCCCTAGATCTTCTTGGGTCAATCACCAAATCCAACTTAAAGGACTTTCCTTTATCCATCCCCACGGCTGGGACCCCTCCCTCTCCACCCCAAAATGGAAAGTTTGGCTGGATTCCCAGGAAAGGGAAGACCTAGCGAAGTTTTCGTCCTACCCATGGTGAGGCAATGGAACCTTCGGGGGTCGGTGACATTGTAGGTAGTGGCGGCACAGACAGGTGCGTGGTGTTGGGGGTGTCCCAGGGCAGCAGCAGCGGCCGCCGCAGCAGCTGCAGCTGCGGCCGCCGCCGCAGAGCCAGGCTGCTGGGGCTGATGGTGATGGTGGTGCTGCGGCTGGTGGTGGTGATGATGGGCATGGCTCATCCGGGGGCAGAACTGCCCGTCCCCGGGGCCGGGGGGAAACTGGCTCTTGAGCAGGGGGATAGCTCCGCCGCCTGCCCCGCTGCCGCCGCCGCCGCCCCCTCCTCCTCCTCCCCCGCCGCCGCCTGCGCCGCCGCCAGTCCGCGCGGAGTGCAGGTGGGAGGTGACGCAGAGTGGACACACGCAGAAAGTGCCGCTCTTGCGCGACTGGCAGCCGGGCCCCGAAACTGACATGACCAGGGGCGACGGCATGCCCAGGGGGATGAGGAAATCGGGGCCGTGCTGGTGCTCAGGTAGGGATGGCGCAGGCCTAGAGGAGTCCTTGATGATCAGAGAATCGACATAGAAGGATCGCGACATATCGCGAAGGGGACGGAGTCCGAGGAGACTGAGAGTAGAAGGCAGCTTTCCCCCACTATTTCTCTTCTTTTCTTCACCTCTCCCTCCCCTTTCACCTCCGACGCTCCCTTGTTTTCCTTGGTTAGGCGAGGACGCTGTCACTGAAGCCCCGAAGGAACGCAGAGGTGCTTAAGTCTGAGAAGCGAACAAAGGGGTCCCCAGAGAGGGCTGGTCCTAACCTCCCCCGCCCCGGCTCCCCTGCTCTGGGGTTTTATATGCCCCAACCCAGCACGTGATGCCAGAGAGTACCGCACTGCTCCGGCTCCTCAGCATCTCCCCACCCTCGGGATAGGCTGCTCAACTCACAACAAAAACGAGGAGGGGGAGAGCATGGGAGGGGTTGGACAGCAGTGGGGTGGAGGCAATAGGAGGAGGAGGTGGAATGAATAAAAAAGAGGGGGAGGGGGAACTTCTTAAAGTGTATGTTTTGTTAATTTCGCGGTGATTCTACTCCTCCCTTTCCTTCCTCCTTTCCAGAGAAACCCTGAGCAATATCTCCCTGCCCCCGCCCGGGCAGGAAGCCCATTGGAGCACTTTACTTTCCACCCAGTTCTTGGCCCCACAGCTCGGGTGGAGGAATCAGGCTAGGTGGAAACCGAGAGGGCTTTTATTAGAATCATGCGGACAAAGGTCTCTCTCCGACATTGCACTTGCTCTGAGGCAGATGCACTAAATGCCTCCTTTGCCCCTCCGAGCATCAAAGAGCTGGAAACTGCAGGGTATGGAATTCAAGAGAACTCAGTTTCGGCCCACTCCAATTCTCCCAGCCCGGGTCGTTCCTAAGACCTACATCACTGCATTGAATCTTTTGGCCCTAGGTCGGTCCTAATAATGATGCTTCACTGCCTCAAGGCTGTTCAAATTCTTTTAGCTTCAGAGTAACACCTCTTTTCCTCTAGCCTCTTTTTTTCTCAATCCCCAAATTAAGTCGAATCCTGGCAAATTGTCAATTAGTCCTTTCCGATGTAAACTTAAAAATAGTCAGACTCTCGTGGGCCAAATCTCTAATTAAATAAGACGACTTTTCGCGTGGACTCCAAATGCCCCTTTTCACATTCTGAAACACCTGTTCACCAGGTATTAGGATGAAGGGGCTTAAAATCTCCTCAGGTCAGCGGGCGGGGCTGACAGCATCGAACCTACCCCTGGAGAGGGCTAGAGGAGGGACTTCTCTGAATCAGTCTCTGTAGCTCACTAACTCCTTCCCCACCCTCAGGGAGGGGAGGGGAGCTGAGGGGCTGGACCAGATCTTTTTTCTTCTCATTCTCAGTATCTCCGGCGACCCTCAGACTATTCTCTGGAAAGATGAATAAATAGTAAAGCAAACGAAGAGTCTTTCCTTTCCGCTCTTCTTTAGATAGAACGCAGAGGTGAAAGGAAAGCGTTGAGGCTTGCGAAATTTCTGGTTCTACCTTCTTTGGGAGACTTAGTGGGGTCTTAAACTTCCGAGGACTATCGTGGTCTAGTGTGCTATGATTAATTTTGCTTATCTTTTCGTTTATTTATCCATCAATTTTACAACAAAAAATTATGTTTATTACACAAAGTGTTTTGCCTAAGTACAGCAGGTGAAGAGAGTTTGTGCCCCCAGAGGATAGGAAAGGCCCATCATCACCCTTGCCACTCCTGCCCCTAGTTAATACTATACTTTTGGAGGGGCTGTTCCTGCTTTTGAGAAGCCAAATGGGGAAAAATTTGACGGATTTCTCACCCGTATGTTTGAAATTTTTACAGTCTTTTTCTGTGCACTGAGGAAAAGCTGAGTTCAAACGCAGCCAAAAATATTTTTGCCTTGGCGATCTAAGTTCTGATCTGAGTTCACCGGAAGAGTTGGGGGGGGGGAAACCAGGGTGTAGAGAGCTAGAAGTGACTGACCTAGGTTGAGTACTGTCCCATGCAAGTGACCCAAGCCAGGCTGGTGGATTGCTTTTCAGTTCTCTTCCTTTCTCTGACTTCACTCTCCCTTGCTTGCTCTCCCCTTCTCTCTTCTCTCTTTCCCTCTTTTCTTCCTACTTCCCGCTCTCCCTTTCTCTTCCTCCTTTTCCTTCTTCCTTCCCTTTTTCTCTCTATCCTTTTCTATCCCCCCCCCCGGCGAGGTGTAATTGGGTTGTAGGGACACTCTGCACTCGGGGAGTCAGGATTTATGGATGGCAATTAAAGTTTTATGAATTGCAGCTGAGGCTGGTTATTGAGCTATTTGAATGTGATTAGAATTCAATTAGAAAGTGGTTAGTGGACTGTGGGTCTCTGGAGTGTAAACAGACAGCTATTCCAGAAATGTGCTAATCCAACATCTTGTGACAACAATTAGGGAGTTTTAGGGTTTAAGGCGGGTCAGCCTCAACTTTAACTGCTTTTTACCAAGAAACTTGGAGAAGGAAATTTGCAAAAGACATTCAGCCTCGTCCTAGGCCAAGAGGATACCAGCAAAGTGAAATCGAGGAATAGGCAGTTATGCAAATAATTGTAACACTTGTGCCTCAATGAATATTTTAGACTACAGCAGAAATTATTTTCAGACCTGAATTTTCCATAACAATTGATTCAATTGTTTCTTCACTTGCCTAGTTTCAATATTGCTTCTGGTATAGAAATTACAGTTATAGGATATTAATACCTAGTCCGTCAAATGAGGATTGGATCGACTAGATGACTTCCAGGTTCCCTCACAGCAAAGACTTTCTATTAATCTACTTAGATCAATTGGACTTGTATGGAGAAGTTCAAAGTTTTGCTTTAAGGAAAGATCTCCTTGAGGTGTATTCTAAGAAACATTCCTAATTCATAGGAGATACCTGGATCTGTATGAGGCCAGTAAGTTTGTTGCATTTAAAAAGAGTCATTTGCAATTTTGTATTTTTGAAAATGCTAATATTGCTAAAAGACTGGGAATCTGATTGGGTTAAATGTCTGATTCCAGATTCTCAGTTAAAATACTCAGCCTTCTAAGTTCTTTACATCTTGGCCCAATACTCTGGGCCCAGAGTCAGGACTTGAGTTCAAATCCTGTTTCAGACACATTAACTTTGTGATCCTGGGCAAGTCACTTAACCTCCTTTTGTCTCAGTTTACTCAATTGTAAAATGGGGATCATAATAGCTCTTACCTCAAAGGATTGTTGTGAGAATCAAATGAGATAATATTTGTAAAAAGAACTGAGCACAGTGCCTGGCACATAGTGGGCACTATAAATATTTATTCCCTATCCCTCAAATCCAAGCTACCCAAGGTAGGTAAGCAGTTTCATGCCCCAGAGAAAATAAAAGCTGATGAATGACAACTTCATGGTCTGACATCTAGAAAGCTTGTCCCCTTGAGGAACTAATATACACTTTCCTGGCAAAAACAGAAAAACGATATGCAAAAACTAGCATGGAACGTAAGTTCTCTCTCTGTCTCAGTTCGTCTCATCCTCCTCTTCCAATGTCTGGCTCTGTGACTTTTGGCAAGCTGCTAAGTTATTATTCCCTGGAGGACAAAGATCATGGTTTCTTAATCTTTCTATCTCTCTAGGAAGGTAAGACTGGTGACTTTGCACAGCCCTCCCTTACTTAAATCCAATTCACTTGTGTGTCATGCCATCACAAGAAGAAAGGACAAATAACAATCTCTCTAGGGCTTAGGATGCAGTAGGAGCTAATAAACGCCTGTAGAACTCCGAAGATTGAAGGAATGGTTTATGTACGAGTCATCTCTCTCCGGGCCTGTTTCCTCATTTGTAAAGATGAGGGGGCTGGACTACATGATCTCTGCAGTCCTTCCACTCCCTATGCATTCTACCATCCCCTCCGTCTCTCCTCACACCTCCTGGCCACTCTCCCACAAAACAATTGCAGTTCTTCAGAACCCAGGTTGCAGACTGGGACTGTACTGACTTGGTGCCTAGCTTGAGAAACAAACCAGTTTGCTAGGAGTCTCAGACTCTTGCTTTGGAGAAATAGCCGTTTGCCAGGGGCTGGGAGTGGGGTGGAGTGAGTCAGGTAGAGGAAGAACTCGCGGCAGATATTTCGATATGGAATTATTACAATAAACCTAGAGCATCACCCAAAACCACGTAGTGGAAGGGACTAACAGCTGAAGGGCCGGGAGCTTTGGTCCTTCCAAGTCATGCGGGTTGACTTGTAGGCGTGTGCCCACAGCCCCCTCATCTTCTTCACAATTTTATTTCTCAATAATTCTGTCCGATAAAATTTCATTGTCCATTAAGTAATCCCCGAAATGAGAGCTCTTATGAGCCTATAATGAGCTCTAATTGCTACGACTAGTCGAGCCACGTGGAAGGATTTAGAAGGTATTAAGCAGTTGGGTACAGAGCACAGGCTGTTACCTAGCCATTACTTTCATAATTCAAGGAGAAAATTAGTCCTTTTAAGGGAAAATCCTTTGATTCCCTTCATTCTGCTCCGGGTGACAGAGTATTGCTTTGTCTTCCTTTAGTTCAAGACAGTGTAACAAATGAGAATGTAACGAAATTGCCCGTCTAACCCTGCACACCTCACCCCTAGAACCACTTTCTAAAAATCAGAGCAGTTTAAAAAGAACAATACATCTCCTTCTTTCCTTCAGATTGCAACTTTTGGTTGTCTGTTTTTCCTTCCGTTTCTCCATCAGTTATGAACTCTCTTTTCCTTCCTTCCTTCCTCCTTCTTCTTTCTTTCATCCTTCCTCCTCTTCCTTTCCTTTTCCTATTCCTTTCCTTCCTTTCTCCTTTCTTCTCTTCTCTTTTTACTTCTTTCTGTGTCCACTACTAATGCACCCCTTTTTTCTTTCTCCACTTCCCTTCATTCCCTGGAGTCCCCCCCCCAGCGGCCCCCACAATCCACCTCCATTACCCCATCCACCAAACTTTAGGCTCCTTGTTGCCCAGTCAATTCGCCTGAACCAGTATCTGCATCCTTGCTACTATGGATGGACCGTGAGACAGCTGCTGTTGTTTCAACACATTCTTGCCTCGCCTTGCC